AGCGGCAGCGCAGCAGCGGCAGTGCAGCAGCGCAGCAGCAGCAGTGCAGCAGCAGTGACAGCAGCAGCAGGGACAGTGGCAGCAGCAGCGGCAGCGCAGCAGCGGCAGCGCAGCAGCGGCAGCGCAGCAGCGGCAGTGCAGCAGCAGCAGCAGCGCAGCAGCAGGGACAGCAGCAGTGACAGCAGCAGTGACAGCAGCAGCAGGGACAGTGGCAGCAGGGACAGTGGCAGCAGGGACAGTGGCAGCAGCAGTGGCAGCCCCACGCTGAGCCTGACCCCCGCGCTCTGGCACAGGCTCTGGGCTGTCCCCGAGCCAGAGGCTCCTGTGACTGCCCCAGGGGTCCCCCAGCAATGCTGTGTGAGCAGCACCAGCACACCCGGCTGTGCATCGCTGCCTCCTGAGCACTGCAGCTCCAGCAGATAACAAAGTGACCGTGTGGAACCTTCCTGCTCTATGAACACACCTATCTACACACAGAAACACCTTCTTGTACAAGTTGTTAACAAGCATACATAAAACAAACGTAATCAGAAACAACTTCAAGGTGTGACTTACCAATCAGTAATACACCATCTTGTTCGAATGAAACCTTTTCTGGACCACTTGCACTGGAAAATAAATGAATAATACCAATCACCTTAGGCAAAGATTACTATGAAAGTGCAATGTACTGACACAGAGAAAGAAAATCAAGCAGAGCTCATCCATACATTATAACCAAAAAGCATTGAACACAAACTGAGGTACCTTTAAAACAGATATTGTATCTTTTATAAACCCTGGAATTATTTTTTTGGTCCTGCAGCAGTTACAAACTTACATGTAAAATTAATAAAAGCCCTGGCAGTTGTTTACAGATGAAAGAGAACCAAATAGAAAAGCTTTCCAACTATATTTATGCTTAGCTTAAACCAGCAAATTCTTATTGCCTATGCACAAATGTTTTCTTTGTAATTTTACCTGAACTGTAAAATGTCATCAAGAGATTTACATCAATTAAAATGAGTGAGATCTGCTAGAAAGCCATTTCTCTTGCTGAGCCAGGCCACCCAATGTTTCTACAAAAGTTAAGAATTTAAATAAGGGTAAAAGATTCCATTCATCACAACAGCACCACCGGCAAGAAAGCCACAATTCAGCTCGTGCCCGTCCATGTCGCTTATGATACAAGGAAGGGTTTTCAGCACCACTTCTGAGCCACTGCCACAAACTACAGCCTCCCATAAAAACACAAGATTCTGCATCCTATTTATTTATTCCCTGATAACAATGCCTGTGTGTCTGGGCTAATGCACTCTGGGAATGAATACAGCACCACACAGGCCTCAATAACGGTGCCAATGATTCTGTAGCAAAAGACTCCTTATTGGGAATAAATTGCCAGTCCCAGCAGAGAATCCCCAGTCAGAGATCCCACTCCCCCAAACCTCTCCTGAGGCACTGGCCAGGTGTATTTATTCTCCTCTCTACAGACAGACAGTCCCCAGTCCTAAACACTGCTGAGATAGTGAAGGGCCTCAACAAACCAAACCAGGATGTCTTGAATCAGAATCAAAGACTGCCTTGGGTTGGAAGGGACCTTCACCTTGTTCCAGCTCCCCTGCTGTGCTCAGGAACACCTTCCAGTAGAAAATGCTGTTCCAAGCCCTGTCCAATCTGCATCTTCTGAGCACCCCTCAATGAAAAGGGACTCAGCTCCCACCCCTTCTCCTTAGGCACAAACACAGTGACTGCTGCCAAGACCAACCAGAAACACCCCCATAATAATTGTATTTCAAATAGTAATCTACTTTATTGCAAATTTTTTTAACAATAAAAGATTAGTCTCTTCTGCAGGTCCAGCAACCACTCAGGGGATGGAGCAAACACTCTAATCCTTCCTAACACGATCCATGGCTGAATCACAAATCCCATAGTCCAGTAAGACCTCTTCTGTGATGCTCATGAGGGCACAGTTACAAGCAGAGATGTCAACACTTACTCAAAAGGAAACCAATGAAAAAAAGTTACATGCTAAAAGCATTCAAAATTGGCTGAAATTTCATTTAAAAAAGGGAACTTTGTAATTTCCTTCTTAAAAATAACTACACAGAACTTAAAATCTAGTAGTGTAAGCCAATGATGTGGTCCAAGATAATGATTTCTATCAAGATGCCATTTCTCATTTGCTATCTTCCTCTTTGGTAAAGGTACAACACCAAAACAGGCTTCACCAGATCACATTGCCTAGAGTCCTATTCAGCTGGGTTTTGAGTATCTCCAAGAACAGTGATTCCACAACCTGTCTGGGGCACAGACAGGTCCTGTGCTGTCCCCTCCTGTCCCGGGGCACAGACAGGTCCTGTGCTGTCCCCTCCTGTCCTGGGGCACAGACAGGTCCTGTGCTGTCCCCTCCCACACCCTCTGCTCCAGCCCCACAGGTGCCACTGCTCTGCTTGCTCCCATCTGCCCAGATCCCAAGGAAGAGGCTGGAGATGTTGAAGTGGCCTTGGAGTGCCAAGCAGATGGAGCAGTCCCCTCCTGGGACCGAGCCCACACTGGGATGCTGGTGGCCTTTTCTGCCATCCAAGTACAGTGCTGGATTTTCTTCACCTTGCTGTCCAAACAGGTCTGTTTAACACAAGCCGATGCTAATATAAGCCAATAAAAAGGTATTTGCAACACAATTTGTATTTCATGACAGCATAAAAATACAGCATTTCCTACCAAAGCCTTCCTCACACACATGTGAATACCAGTTTAAGGGCAGCAGTGTGTCTGAGAGGCCACTTTGCCACTCAGGTACTTTTCCAAGGTGTAACTGGAGCTCTGACATCTCACTGTCTTAAGTCCTCACCAAAAAAAAAGCCCTTTTTAAAATCACAATTTGAAAACTGGTAGTTACATTCTTCCAGCTTTTCCTTTGTGAATAGAGTCCCTGAGGAGATTGTGCTGACCTTTTAAAACCCCCCAGAACTAGCACCTACATAAATAACCCCTGCTACATCGGGGAAAGGACCTCCAGGCAGCATTAACATGAAGAGAGAGGTTAGAGAGGGCTAATGTCAAAAAGCACTGTGAGCAATAAGTAATGCACACAAACCATGATTGATAATGATCAGCACAGAGCCTTAATTCATCTTTTCTCCATCATTTTACTGAGGGGGACCATATCAAATTAAATAGTGACCCAGAAAGGGTTTATTCAACCATACAAAGCAGGGCATGAAGGAAAGACATATTAAAGTGGTGATGACTGCAGTGTAATTGCAGCTCCTTAAAGGAACACCACAGATCAGAGGGAAACCTGAAACAGGAATCAGCCAAACACTGGCAGCAAGAGGAACTGAGGCGCTGAGCAATGTCCAGCACTGACAAGCCTTCACTGCAGTGGTGAGAACTCCTCAGAGCCTTACACAGGAGCCGTGTTTCACTGGCCAGGAAACAGCTGTATTATGGCAACTTGCCATAAAAACAATGTAGAATGCAGTTCCTACCTCAGAATTACTTCCTTTCTTCCCTTAGATCAGTTGCTTCAGTAACTGTTTGAAGTCAGCAGCTCCATAATGCTCCAGACTGAGTCATTGCCAAAAAGCAACAAGTGATGGACAGAACCAGTGGAGTTTGGACCCTTTACCTGGCCCAGAGGGAAGCCAGCACAGGCAACCAGGGAGGAGCTTAAGCTCACACTGGGAAAGGTCACACAGCTGAGACTGAATAAAGCAGGAACACCTGTGCCTCTCTACTGTGAAATAACACTTGTTTCATTGTGCAACCCCAACCTGCAAACTACCTTTAGTTACTTCTAACTTGAACACAATTCCTTTAATTCATTAAATAATTCAGTTATCAGTAACTTGCCCATTTGACATTAGGAATGCAGAAGTTCACAGCCTTCAGGCCTCCTAATGCAGCCCAGGAGCTCGAGCTCAACAGCTCTGACATGAAGAGTCATCATCAGCCTTAGATACATCCTGCAGCTGAACAACATGCCTTCTGTATTTCTGGATCATGTATGTGCTTTACTATTTCTAAATGAAGTATTTGGAACACAGGAAGTTTTTGAAACAGAATGTAAAGAAGAGCTATAGTTTGGGAAGGAGGAAAGAGAAATTTTCTCTTTTTTGCAAAGCAACAATCTTTATTTTTACTTTAACAAATAATCACTAACTGCTACACCATCTGTAAGCCAGCATAAAGCCAGGTGGAGATGACATTGGTCATCATACACTCTCCGGGACTGATCTACATTTTAAAATAGTAAAAGAAAAAACCTACTTCATGTCCCAGAAAGGGGATACCACATCTTTCACCTTACATTATTAAGTCTCTTCTCAGATCCTCTGTTAATAGGATTCCTTTAGCCAGCAGATGGATTGTGAATACAGGCAGTTTCATCTACTAAAAGACAACATAAATCATAATTGAGAAAGGAGAGACCGCAGTAAGGTTATCACCATACAGCCTCCTCCATGAAAGGTTTGCATTAAAGCATTAGTGAAATTAATTCATCTTTCATAAGAGCTTTGAGCAGTATCTGTGATCTATGATAACAACCAATTTCTCACTATGAGAAAAAAAAATTACTCAGGCCTGATAGACTACACAAATCTGCTTTTTTTTAAATGGCCTAACATTATCTAGAGTGTTGCTCCCAGAGGCATCATTTGAGGTTTATGCCTTGCCAAGAGGACCCATAAATCAAGGCAGAAAGTTTTGTTAGTTTTATATGCAGTGGGCTGTAATTATTTTGAATTGCATTATGCCTCAATCACTGTAATTACTTTTAGATCATCCTTAAACAGCTGCAATAAAAAGAAATCAGTCTTAAACCATTTCTCACACAAAAAATTGCAGATGTGATAAGAAAGGTCTGGCTAAAACACACAAGAGCATGTCAATGCAACATTTGGGCAAACATGCTGCTCATGCCTTCTGCTGGGTAAACACAAATTTCCAAAATACTGTTTTGTGTCCTTTTAATTGCCATTGCTATTACTAACATTAGTCTAGAGAGAAAACACTTGATAGCAAGATTGATTTTAGCTTTACCTATAGAAACATGCATATGAGAACCGAAGCTGTCTCCGTGTGGTTTTTGCTGTTGCTGTGTCTGTGTGTTTGAGACGCTTCTTGGTCTCCAGCTCCAAAGAGAAACAGTGTAGTCTAAAAATCCCTGCAATTGCTTTCTAACGTGTCAAGTCACATGAAAATACACTGGGCTGGCACATGGCACCGGGCAGGGCGCAGGCCAGGCGAGCACAGGAGGTACAGAGCTGCAGCACGGCTGCATCGCTGCAGATCTGCTGAGCCGCGTCCCTCCCCGCTCCCTCTGAGCAAAGCTCTGCAGCAGCACGGCCCCAGCCTGCTCCCTGGCTCTGCCTGCAACAGCATTCCCAGGAATTGTGCTGGGGGCAGGAATAAAACTGAACTTTCAAGAAGCTTCAGAGACTTGTTCATTACTTAATTGTGTATATTTGTGGATTTTCTCTTTTCCCGTTTGTTCGTCCTCCAGGTAAACACTATCCCTGGCAATCCAAACACAGAGGATTCTGCTTACAGCAGCTGCTCAAGGCACTGGAACCACTGGGAGCAGTCTGAGGGTGTCCACAGCCTCCAAAGGAGGGTGTCCTGAGGAGGAGCTGCAGCAGATGATGAACATGGGAACACCTGATCCCTGAGCAGCCACAAGGAACCAGCACCACTCCGGCTCCACAGAACCGTGAGGGAAAGCCCCAAGACTCAACCACTGCTGCAAGAGACTGAGAATTGTGGATGCAAGAGGGGTGATAGACAATGCTGAGCAAGTTTCAGCTTCGCCAGTCCCACGATGAAGAAACAGCAGTGAAATAAATAAAGGAGGAAACCATTCTCCCTGGGTATCAGTGAGCAATCCACAGCTTGTCCTGGTCTGAGAGGCACAGCGCTCACGCTGCTGTGCAGTGTTACCCTCACTGCACCCAGGGGAAAAACAAACACCTGAGGAAACGGCTCAGGCTCCCTCAAAATGAGGTAACACTTAACTTCAAACAAGTATTTGAGATGTTTATTCACAGGAAGTAAATGCTTTCCAAAATTATGTCAAAGGTACTTTTCCTTCCAGTACTGAGATATAAAAAGAAACAATTTAGTATCAAAGTCAAGAAAAAGAACAACCTTCACCCCATCAATCCCGTAACTATTCATGCAATGCTCTGCCAAGCACACAAGCACTGTGTAAATATCTCTAAGTGTGTATATTTACAAATTCTAAATTAATTTTAGGGGTTTATTTAGTTCTTCCTTGTATAAAAGTAGTGACATGCCTGTTTGATCCACAAATGTTATAGGAGTTCAACAAATTTATTCACTTGGTTTGAGGAGAACATTAACCATTAAATACTCATGTTCTAGGTGTTCTTAAGAAATTAGAACTGAGAAAATTAAAGGAAACACCAAAGAAAAGAGAGTCTGCACTTGCAGTGCAAGAAACCCCTCAGCTCTGCTTGTGCTTCTGGCTTTGACAAGAGCATCAATCTCAAACCCCCAGCACTCAGTTCTGAGAACAAGTGCAAGAGGGAGCGAGGGCAGGCTCAGAGGGCAGCACTGGCGTGTGCTGGAGCCAGGTGTGCCTGGCACCAGCGTGAGCTCCCTGTGCTGGCAGCGTCCCCCGGCTCCTGCCACAGCCCTGCCACGGCTCACCCTGCCACACTGCCACCCTGCCACAGTGCCTCAGTGCCACAGCACACTGCCACACCACTGCCACACTGCCACAGTGCCACACTGCCACCCTGCCACAGCACACTGCCACACCACTGCCACAGTGCCACACTGCCACCCTGCCACAGTGCCTCAGTGCCACAGCACACTGCCACACCACTGCCACAGTGCCACACTGCCACAGTGCCACACTGCCACCCTGCCACAGTGCCTCAGTGCCACGGCACACAGCTACAGTGCCACACTGCCACAGTGCCACACTGCCACCCTGCCACGGCACACTGCCACACCACTGCCACAGTGCCACACTGCCACAGCACACTGCCACCCTGCCACCCCGCCACAGTGCCTCAGTGCCTCAGTGCCACAGCACACAGCCACACCACTGACACAGTGCCACAGTGCCACACTGCCACAGTGCCACGGCACACTGCTACACTGCCACCCTGTCACACTGCTACAGTGCCACACTGACACAGTGCCACACCATCACACTGCCACGCTGCCACACTGTCACACTGCTACAGTGCCACACTGCCACACTGTCACAGTGCCACACTGCCACCCTGTCACACTGCTACACTGCCACACTTCACATGCACAAACAAAGTCTTTTCATCACTGTCCTCACCCTTCACAAGCATTTCTTACTGCATTTTGGAACATAATGGCATGACTTAAAACATGTACTACAGGTGTCAAGACATCCACAGACATAATTCCAAGATTCTATTCTGCCCTTATCACTGAGAGGAGCTGCTCAAGAGTAGTCAGAGGAAACCAGAATCAAACCCAGTATTTGGGAATGCTTCACAGCTCTGTACATACCTCAGGGAAATAATCCTGTGGAAACTTCTCTTTTTCCAGCATGGGTGTGCTTTCTAAAGTGTCAGAGTAGATTTCTTTCCCAGTAACTTTTTTATACTTCTTAGCTAGGAAGACAGATAAACCAAAATTAACATATATAATTTCAACATTATGAGCATCTTCTCACACTTACTGGCAAAGTAGCAGCATCTGCAAAACAGCTGGTAAATCAACAGGATCTTACAAAAAATGTGCAAGCACTGAACTGTTCTGGGAGAAAATAAACACCTCTGTTTGTATCAGACACCTTGAATTTACACAGTTCTGGAATTGTCATTTCTACTATCCAGAGCCCTATAAAGTGTTGGGGCTCTGATCAGGAGCCTGGTCTCTGTACATCCTTGCACTCAAATCCCACCTCAGCTGCCCTGAGACCCTGGAGCCCCCAGGCTCCTCAGATCAACCCTTTCTGGCCATCAGCACATGAGGCATGGATTTGCACTGCTGGAATGGGTGTTGGGTTTGTACAAGAGACTCAACAGTGATGCACAACGCTTTCCAAAGTCTCCAATGAACAGTTTCATCATAGACAGAAACAACACAAACTCCTATGGATCTACTGAGCTCATGAATGAGAGGTTCTCCTTCTTGACCCACTTTGCATTTGGTTTCTCACCTGATGAGAGCAATGTACTGGCATATCTAAGGTGAGAACCTGACTTGGTTTAGCTCCTCTGACACAGGAGCTGATGTACAGCTGCCATTATGCTGGACCTATTCAACTGGATTCAGTTTCAGCTGGGAACGTGTAAGAGAAAAACTCCAACTATTATCAAGAGTCCTAAACTGTTCAGTCCTACTGGATATCTGAGGAAGCATTTACTGTAGTGCAGCATTATGTCTTTGGGGGGAAAAAAAAAGGTATCATTCTTCATGTGCCAACCACTCTGAAGCTTGGCTCCCATAGAACGACTGAACAAATATCCTGATAAATGGATCTGGCGTTATTCTGAGTAAAACATGGATGGATGCACCTCTTTCAGCAAGTTTAACTGTGTCAGCAAAGAGATCCTGATGCCTTTTGAGTTACAGAAAGGACCTGGCAGAACTGTAAGGCCTGAAGGATCTGCTGGGAGAATTTCCCTGAGGAGCAGCAGTTGGCAAAGGGAGTGACCCCTCTCTCCATCACCCACGTGCATCAACAGGAGCCAGAGGCTGCTGGCAGCACTGCTGAGCAGAACACAGGGGCAACACAGCCCTAACCAACTAACACCAGCTCTGCTCCACTGCTGACTTCAAACCAGGGAACAAGATTCTCTCTGTAAACACAAGTGGCCAACTGGAACTGGCCTGAACCCCCTCTTTTAGAGGACATCCCTTCAGAACAGACAGCTTGGCACTAGTTTAAACTGTAAGCAAACTTCTGGGCCTCTGACCACTGTGAAAACGGCCCAACAGATCTACAGCATATAGTATGTGAGGCTGCAGGAGAAAACTGTTCCTATTTTAAAATGCAGGTATGTCTTCCTGAGATCTGAAAAACAGCGGCAATCTTTTTTTTTCAGTCTGTATTCAGTCACATCCAACTGTGCAGTGAATTTTGAACAGCAACAGTGATGTTCCAGGAATACTGAATTGTGTATAAACATCTATTTTTTGCATGTTTTTGAGTAGAACCAGAATTTCATAATGATTTTTGTGTAGAGAATGTTTGTATCCATTTTGATTTTTCTTCTGATTTAAGAGCTTAATACACAGTGAAAATGTCAATAGTCATGAGAGAAGAGGCAAGTTTTACATTTCCCCTGAAAGATGGGAGCCTTTGGCGTCATATTTTACAAACCCTATGCTAGGAGATGGATTCTGCTCTGTTACAAGAACAGCATGTGACTTACAACACTGATTCACCCATTCCTTTGGATTTTAATTAAGAGTTTCTCCTTCTAAATAATGTTTGGGCCCAACCCATCTTTATGACCATGGTTCACATTCCAGTTGGCTCTCCTATGGTTTTACCAAGTAAAACAAAGCAGTGACCATTTAAAGCATTTATCTTCTGGAACAAGCATCTGTTTATTGTTTTCCTATGAACTGTTTTCCTCTATACTTTTTTCTTCCATTTTCTCACTTTTTAAAAATTCTTACACTTTCTTTTAAAAGCTGTACAGTACAAGTAAGCTGCCAACAAAAGACAAATAAATCCAGAAAGCTCCTCTTTTCCAAAGCAGCTGTCATTTCCCTGCCAGGTATTGCTGGAACAGGACATCTCCCCTCTGTGATCACTGGGAGGACCTTCAGGTGGAGTTTGGAGCAGAACTGCTGCTGCTCCTCCAGTGCTGATGGGATGGAGCTGAGGGCTCGGGTGTGCTGAGACAGTTCCTGTACCATTGGCACACAAAGCCATTTGCATGGCAGAATGAACAAACAGCCACACAGAGAACAGCAAAATGTCCCACCCAGGGCCTGGGGGCCACCTGGGAGTGCCCCAGCTTCCCCCAGTGTCCCCATCACGTGCACACTTCATTCCTGAGCTTCTGCAGAACTGCTCTTGTCAGGGACAAAGCCCAGGCACGACCCCTCAGGACTGCCAACAGCAAAAACATTCCTTCAGCACTGAAACCAGTGGTAACAGGAGGACTTATGCTGGCTAAGTCTTGAATTGTACATACACAGAACTACTGTTCAAATATTTCAGGGCAGGCAGGAAGACCCTGTACCCTCAATTCCATAAGCAGAGAGAATCTGTCTGCTGAGAACAAAAATAATTAATCTATATAATTATGAAAATTAGTTCAGTCCATAGTCACTACCATTTTAAACATTGCCTCACTCTAATGGGACACTAGGTGTAGTATTAATGTGACTCAGCTCAGCAAGCTAAATGAAGCTCAGGATATTTTTGTATGAAATATATACAGTTCTCAATTGAAGTAACATAAATGTTATATAATCTTTTCTATATTCCCCTCAGGAAGCATTCAGAAATTTTCTATGATATTTCTAATATTTAATGTATATAGACTAGCATTACTTTCAAACTTGTGAGACACAGCAAGACCTCCAACCTGAAGGATCACTGTGGGTTAAAACAGTGCCACCCTCCTACCTGCTCTGCTCCCAAGTAATTTAAGCCATAAATCTACCTCAGCTGCTTTGCAAAATGACCATCACTGTTGGACAGTTAAGGTCTTGGTCCTGTATCTGATCTACAAGGAAGAACCTTGTGGCCATTCAGAGCTCTTCTGAAACCCTTAGGCATCACCGTGGACCTAAAGGTGCATGGGAATGATTAATGCTCTGGCTTGCAGCCTGTGGCCACTCCATTGACTTCTTCTAAAAGGTCAAAGAGGTAAGAAAGGCCTAAAGGTAAGAAAAGCAACACCTGTCACCATGGGACCTGCCTGCATTTTACAGGAGTCTGCATAACATGGAAACACTGCCAGGGTACCACCATCAGAAAAGTGGATGGAAAAGCTGCCTTGATGTACAAAGCCAATTGACCATTAAAAACATTTAATTCCTTTGCTTACCTTTAAAATCAAACTGGTAGATGTTTTTCAAAGATTCATGAAGAAAGTAAAAACTTCCTAGAGCCTGTAAAAAAAAAATCCAAAACAATAAAACATGAAATTATAAAAAATACATACTCTGGCTAATGAAACCTGAAAGAGCATCAGGCTTTCCAATTAGAAAAAAAATCCAAACTCAAGAAATTAATTAGCAATAAATAAAATTACTGATGTTTACATTTTCTAAGATCTATAAATACATTAATTTCTTTTGTTGCTTCTCTGAAATATCATCAGTCATTCTAAAGATGATCTCTAACAGCTGACTGACCGTGACAAGGGCACTGCCAGGTGGATGTGATCAGTGACACAGATGCCATTCTGAGCCCCAAAAACCGACCCTCAATTCTGTTATAAAACCCTGACAATTTCCTCTTTACTTTCAAAGCAAAACCAAACTTTTAGAGCATGCAGCACAGGAAACAGGGCAACTTTGAAGTTTTCTAACTTGCACCTAAATCCTCTGCAGAAGAGGCTCCACGACTTCCCAACTCAGCCTGAAATGGTTTTTCCCCACCCTGAAACGTACACAGCTCCTCCACAGGGACAGCCCCGTTTGCCCCCCTGCAGCAGGCACCCTCTGCGTGCCCTCCTCTCCAGGGCTGCCCACCCTGGCACTCACAATCCCTCCCTGCCTCCATCTGTGCCACGGTGACACACACAGGGACCGTCACCTTGCTGCTGGCCTTGTCTTCTCCACAGACATGCCATTTACTGCTTCTCCCCAGCTCATGAGAGGAAAATTGCATATTAGAAGAGAGAAAATGAAAATCAAGTAAGAAATAAATAAAAAAAACAAAACAGGGCAAATAGATTTTATGGTGGAATATTAAAAAAAAATCAAAAGGAGAACTTGATGAGCCTTTAGATACATCTGATGCACCCAACAGAAACTGAGAAAAAACCAGCCTGCTACCGGGTAAACTCTCAGAAGAATTAAAGAAGCAACACATTAACCAAAAAGGATGATTTAGTTTCATTGCATCTTTTCCTCTCCAACAGCAAAGCCCCTCCCAGCGCAGCAGTGCTTGGTTTGGTGACTGCTGCATTATTTATGAGATGCTGCACATGCAGAGAGCAGACATTGCTGATTTGTCAAAAGCACAAACATGAGGTCCTGCCCATCTCCTTGACATGTGAGTCCATCCAACAGAAAACAGTGCCACATGTTTAATGTTTAACATGTGTCCCTGTGATCCAGGCAGATTCCTTCAGGCCTTTGGGTTTCTTTTTTATAACATGGAGGAGGCAACAAGTAACTGCAGGAGACATCCCTGGGAAGGACTCAAGGTTAAGGGTGCTGCAACAAGGACACACTGCCAGGAGAAAACAAATCCTGGTACAAGACAAAAACACCACCACCTGATATTCCCATCTGGCCCATCTCTGTCTTCAATGCATAGGCAAAATCTGACGTATATAAAGGTAACATTTTGCTATATAATAATACTCTTTAAGAACTCAGTACAAGGATACACCTTTTTTTCTTGGCCTTCAGAAGAAAAAGAAAGCCTTGGCAAGCATCTGGAAAGTATCATCCCAAATGCCTCAAGTCTGAAAAATTTAAAAGCAAATGAAAAAGGGATCCTGGAATGGGAAATCCTAGGCTATGTCAGTAACACATGGCAATCCAGCCTACCTGAAACATCTAAGTGATGTTTTTAAGTGAGCTTTTCCTTTTCCCCCACAGTGCAGGGCAGCAGAATCCTGCTGTGAAGGGACCTTTCAGGTCTCCTGTCCAACCCCTGTCCCAGCAGGGCTGTCAGTGCAGCTGCTCAGGGCATTGTCCAGGGGACTCAGAGCTCTCCTGAGGTGGAGCCTGCCTTCCCTTCCCAGCTACTGCTCCTGGGTCTGAGCACCCTCTTGGAAAACTTTTCCCTTCATTCTCATTGGAATTCCCCATGCCTCAGCTGAGATGGAAATCTGTGACTAAGTAAAAAAAAAGCATTTGGAAATAGTGATCAATCCAAATCAGGTACAAATAATGTTAAAAACAGGTGATCATTTAAATCTAGGTGACAGAATTGTGAATTCTGAAGCTTCTCTGTGTAGCTTATCAACAAGTAAACCAAGGAAAAAACAGATGCTCCAAACCCCGTTTCACTTAGGGTGTCATAACTCAATTAAAAACAGTACTGCCATTCATGCTCAAGCTACAGCTTAATTTCTGAGTGACACAATTTGCTTATTGCTTACTTTGTACAGTTTTAATCTCATTTAAAAAAAACAATTTTTAAGACTTACACACCAGAAGTTTGGTTTGACAGTCTACAGTTGTGGCACTGAGTGTCAAGTACTCGTGCACAATGAGTCTGGGACAGTGATGAAGTAACTCTGTCAAGTTTCAGGAGCTGATACCACTAACACTCAGACTGGCTTGGACTGTGCAATTCCGAACACCCCACTAAAAAGAATCAAAACTATAATGGAATGGAAATTACAGCAATCGCTATCTTCCACATTATTATAGACTTAATCAGTCTTAGGTACGTAAACGTAAACTTGTAAAAGTGATGGAGTGCACTTATAATTCCGTGCCCTAACACAATGAAATATATTAAAAACAGCTTTCTGGGGCCTACTGCCTAGGCCCTTTTGTTGAGGCGATTATGTTAATTCACTTTATATCTCATAAAATGTCAGTTTAACAATAAAGTTAAAAGAGATTAATTTAAAATTTAAGAGCTTTGCTCTATTTTTTTATTTACAATTTCAGTATCCTTTGGAAAAAGCAGTACTGGTGCATACAGCAGCAAGCAGCACATACAATATCTAAGTGATACAACACAGGAACACATTACAGATTATAAACCACCCAAACATCTTAACTTTTAAACATCTCAAACACAGGGAAGGAAAGCTGTTATTTGCTCCATTTGAAAGGTTGCTGAGATGGATGACTTTTGCTGCTTGCACAAACTCACACCACCTGTAAACAGGTGCTGCTGCTCAAATGGAAGCTCAGCAGTCATGCTGTGCACTGTCCCCACCTTCCCAGTCACAGTGACATCAGTGGCTGCACCTCAGCAGACCCAGGAATATTGCAGTGTATTGCAGCCTTCTTCACAACAGCCTTCCTGGAGCAGAAACCTGGAAAATAACACTGAGGGCCACTGAGCTTAACTTCCCCACGCATCAGGGAGGGTGCACCTCCTGCAGCTGTGCCCATCTCCCCTGAGCAGATCAGCCTGCAGGCTCCCCCCTCCAGAGCACTTCTGAGCTCAGAACAGGGCTCAGCCACAGCAACACTGCCAGCTGAACGGAGCTCTGCTGCCCCACGGGATGCCCAGGGGATGGCACACGCTCTGCTGACCAGATGTCTCACTGCAATGAAGGGAGGGCAGCAGCCACAGGCTCCTCTGCTTGATTTTCCCAGCAGTCTGCAAACACAGACCGGTTGTGAGTTCTATTTCAGAAGCCTTAGGGCAGAACGATGAAAGGATGGCTCACAGTTAGGCTCAGATCAGAAATTCCCAACTCATCAGGCCAGCCTGGCAGCCCCTGGGTCTGTGACTGGATCGAGGTCACTGTACTCAGTACCACCAAAAGCTTCTGGGCCAGCCCAAACTGCCGGCCTCAGGGATACAGGGACAGCACATTATTCCCAGGACTGATCAGCCAGGTGAACTGGGCAGGAACTGTTCCTGGCAGGGTGGGCAGGCCCTGGCACAGGTGGATCCCTGGCAGTGCCCAAGGCCAGGCTGGACACTGGGGCTGGAGCAGCTGGGACAGGGGAAGGGGTGGGAACTGGATGGGCTTTGAGCTCCTGTCCAACCCAAATCATGATTCTATGAATCCCTGATTTACACTTTACTAATTCATCAGGAGCTGGTAAGATAGAAAGGACTTCACTAGAGTCTGAGGTTCCCAGTTAGGCTCAGAAGCACGTGGATACTTCAGAGCAACACCCTGGCCATGAGGAAACACCACAGTCACTGTGGTCACAGTCACAGAAACTCAGTGCCAAAACAGAAAGTCGGGTGGCACGCTCATGAACAATACTCATTTGTAGCTTGGCCAAGTTCTTAAGAAACACACAAGAGGTGAAACTGATTCTTCTGCTGTCCCCCTGTTCACTATAACCAACAACTTGGCTTTAACACCCCTAGAATCAGTCAGACAGCACCCAAGATCCTGCAGGCACAGCAGGGAGAATTTCCTTTGTAAACTCCCAGGACCTCTTTTGATATCACAGTCACTAACTGCAGAGTACACAGGCAAACACATCCTGGCTTTTGTGAGAATGGCCCTTATGGAAACGCTCAGGAGCTCAGGGAAAGGCCAGGCATTTTATCTCAGGCAGTGCTGCTGTTAACAAAGTGCTTTTTCCGGACTGACAGAAGTACCTGACCATTCCCACCACGCCTGCGTGCGCACCTGCACTGCAGCTACAGACACGGGCAGCAACATTTAACCCAAGGTGAGCACATCCATTAAAAGAGCTCCACATCTCCCCAGAAATGTATTATGGAGAAAAAACCAGGCCTCTTCTGTTAGCAGACTGAAGCTGAACATTCACTGCATTTAAAAAGGTTCCAAAATGATACTCATTACAGAATTAGAGATTTCTTCCATTATTCCGGAAATTCAGAAATACTCGTCTGGGAAAACTAGTGCTGATGGCAAGAGAAACAATTGGTTCTGATGGATCACACATCTGGCGTTATTAAAAGCACTATTCCTTTAATTATACAGAAATTTTGCCACAAAAGTTTGAAGATTTTAATAACTATAGGGTTTTTTTAAACAGTTAATTGGCATAATTTCTTTTCAAAGTCCACCATTTCAACTGTGGAGATTTAATGCAAAAAGGAAATAGATGAATAAACTGTACAGAGTAAACATTTACTGCGTTACCTCACTAAATGTGACAGTTAATATATAAAGATCGCTTTAAATATATTTAAAATAAATTGCCAGTGATGACACAGAAACCGTAATTCATGTAGTCATAAAATCCATAATTAGCTTTAATGAATATTTAAAGTCAAAGTTCAGCCCAACTTTTTCAATGTTTAACCTCCT